TTCCGGGGGTCAGTCTAGAGCCAGCTTTTGTCAACATTGGATCCATGTACTGGTCATTGGATCTTACCCCACCTCACCATTTGCTGGAGCTCTGCGCTCAACTTCACCGGCCTCCCGCCATTTTTTTCACCACAGCTGAAGGACTTCGTCGGTCATCGATATGCATATCGATCCTTCCCCACCATAGACTGCTTGACAACACCTATATGTATATGAGATAACCTTGTTGGGAGTAGATTTATCTACTTCCCGCTTGGATTGTTTTTTCTTTTCGTAATATTGTCAAGATGTTCATAGACCTTACTAACTGAAATACATTAAACATCAATTCCATTTTCTCTCTTGTTATTAATCTCTAATTTTAGAATTTTTTTTTTTATTTATGTTTCATTCTTGAAATCCTTTTTATAACAAATATATACATTTCTATTCTAAGAATCACCCATTTCCCAACCCTCTGGAAATATTCTGAAGTTGTCATGGTATTAAAACATAATAAATCCTCAGACTCTCCAAATTCCTATCGTCTGATCAGCCTTATTCCTTTCTTTTTTAAGTTATTTGAAAAAATTATTCTTTGTCACCTTGCCTCTCTTGATATATTTAAATTTATTCCAAATCATCAATTCGGTTTCAGAAAGCATCATTTAACTGTTCAACAATGTCATCAATTGGTAGATTATATTTATAATTCTTTAGAATCTAAAAATTATTGTCCGGGAGTTTTCTTGACATTAGTCAAGCATTCGATAAAGTTTGGCTTGAAGGATTGCTTTCCAAACTTAAAAATGTACTTCTTCCGACCTACTATCTAATATTACTCTCATATCTAACGGATAGACATTTTTTAGTAACAGTATGAACAGAACGTTCTGACAATAAATCTATTAAAGCAGGAGTACCTCAGGGTAGTGTCCTTGGACCAATACTGTTTAATTGGATTATATATACGTCTGATCTACCGGAACATAATGACACTCTACTGACTACTTCTGCAGACGATACCGCAATCTTCAGCTCAGATAAAAATCCTTTTCGAGCATCTACCACTCTTCAAAATCATCTGAATGATATTGTGGATTGGGTCACAAGTTGGAAAATTGAAACGAATAAAAAAAAGTGTGTATATTATAGTATTTACTCTTAACCATACACCTTCTCCCTAAATATATATTAATAACATTAAAATCCCAACATCAGATATAATTAGATATTTAGGTTTTTACCTGAACAAAAGACTTACTTGGAGGACTCACATTAGACAAAATGAATAGAATTAAACAGATGATACGGTCTTTTATCCAGGTTACTTGACAGACGTTCAAAATTATCTGTAACTAACAAACTAACCCTTTATAAAGTTTTACATAAACCAATATGGACTTATGGCATAGAACTGTGGGGTTCTGCTAAAACTGTACTAGTGCTTTTCTGGACGTAGCGCAAGCTTTCGACCGGGTGTGGCATGATGGCTTGCTTTTCAAGCTCAAAACTCACTTACCCCAATCCTTGTACCTAGTCCTCAAATCCTACCTCTCAAATCATTCCTTTCAAGTCCGCTGTGGCACTGAATTCTCCAACTATTATCCAGTTGAGGCTGGTGTTCCACAAGGCAGTGTCTTCTCTACATCCTTTTCACAGCTGATATTCCAACCCATCCTAATACCCTTCTAGCAACATTTGCTGACGATACTGCCATCCTATCTTCCCACCCAGACCCTGAAACAGCATCCCTAAACCTTCAAAGACACATCTCCCTAATAGAGCAATGGTGCAACAATTGGCGCATCAAGATCAATGAATCCAAATGCAAGCATGTCACCTTTACCCTCCGACGCAGATCCTGTCCACATATCCTTTTCAACTTAGTACCTCTTCCCATCTCAGACACAGTTCGGTATCTTGGATTCCTTTTAGACAAAAGACTAACATGGAACCCACATACCTCACTTAAAAGACAAGAGCTTAACCTACGACTTGGCCAGTTATACAGACTACTTAACAGAAAATCTAACCTCTCAATTGAAAACAAACTATTAATATACAAGACCATACTGAAACCCATCTGGATCTACGGACTTGAACTGTGGGAAACAACTAAATTTGCGAAAATCAAACGCATCCAATGCTTCCAGTCTAAAGTCCTCCATCCTGATTTTCAAATTTTAGCACAATTCTTATCCAGTTCCAGTCATCCCTACAATCCTCCTCGAAGGTTGAAGCGGCAGTGGCCTCGAGATCTTTTGTAAAGACATCATTGGAGTCCTGGTGATGGCCAGCTTCTGCACTCAAGTCATGAGCATATGTGGCTTTAGTGCCCACTGGATTCCCATCCTAGTGATGCGGCTGAAAGAGAAGCGCTGGGATCTCTTGGAGTCTTGCATTGTCCCCCACACGTGGGGGAAAAGGCCCGACTCGGAGCTCCCTCGCTGACTGTAAATATTGTAAATAAGTATGAATGTGTTTTTATTTAATGTTGTATCATGATCGATTTATTCTGTTACTCCAAGTTTTATTTTATTTTATTTTTTTATAATCTTGTTTTTCTTTTAATGTATATATGGTATGTTTGTGTTTCATTCATCCTAAATACTCAATGCCCATAATTGAGGCAATATGTATTTTTTTTCTAAATAAAATATTATATTTAAAAAAAAAAATAGTTAATGAGATATATCATTGTAATAAATCTTTAGTTTTTTTTTTTAATTTATAGAATTAAAATAGTTAGGGCTGGTTGAAACATAAGTTGATTTCAAATAAATAATTTTTGCATAAAAATCATCTCGAGCTTCCATTCGGGGTCGGAAGAAAATGTTAAATATTTATTCATTTAAGAGAAAAATATAAATATCTGCATCTTTAATATTACAGTGATCTTAATTTATCCTGGTGTAATTAACTTATTATAGTTTAGGGTTGTAAATTCTTGTATTGAGTTATTTTATGTGTATCATCTCCAACATTTATCTGTTTTAGTGTTACATTTCCTTATCTGCATACTGTTAAGCCTCTTATCTCTTAACTCTTTGCCCCCAGCAACTTGTACTCCCTCATTAGGGGGTACCTCAGCGATAGGAAAGCTAGGATACGGTCTACCCTCTATGAGGTAGAGCGGAAAATAGAAAGAGGATGTCCACAGAGCTTAGTCCTAGGCCCGGCCCTGTGGAAGTTAGTATTTGACCAATTGCTGGGGGAATTGGAGGTAGCGGGCTTCGGTGCCGTTGCCTACGTTGATGACCTGGCTGCCATAGTAACAGCGAATAGCAGGGCAAGATTGGTGGCGGAAGGAGAAAGGTGCTCCACCATAGTCGAAAAATGGTGTGCAACGGAAGAAGATGAAGATGGCAGCGGCGAAAACCCAGGCCATTCTGTTGAAAGGTTCTACGGTCAGGGCCCACCCTATTAGTCTCAGAGTAGGAGGTAGAGTTTGCCTAGGTGAGGAGATCACCTACCTGGGCGTGAGATTTAAATCAAAATTCAATATTTCTGCTCAGATAGAGTACCTACGGAGTAGAGTGACCCTGTCCCTAAATGGCCTGGCATGGCTAGGGGGTGCCTTTTGGGGCCTCAGATACCCAGCACCGAGAATCATACGTGGAGCCGTCACCTGAATCAGGTGCAGAAGAGGAAGATGGCCACCATCCTACGGCTCACCCTGAAGACGACTAGGACGTACAGAACCGTGTCCCACGAAGCAGTTCAAGTGCTGGCTGGGGAGTTGCCCCTGGACCTCGTCCTTCAGGAGGACGCATGGAGGAATGACCTAAAGAGGGAAGGACTGGAGGCACCCCCAGAGAGGCTTCACCGGAGGGTCCGTGAGGATCCAGGAAGATGGAGTGGCATAGTCCGAGAGGCGACACTAGAGGAGTGGAATGGGCGGTGGATTGCAAGTGAGAATCGAGCCACCTTGAGAAAATACTTCCCCACCGTTCATTCCAGATTGAAGGCACATTGGGTCGAGCCGGACTACTGGATCTCATAGATTCTGACGGGACATGGGGGCTTAGAGACAAACTCAGAAAGCATGGGAAGAACATCGACCCCTCATGTCCCGACTGCGGTGCTTCTGATACGGCTGAGCATGTGGTTATATCATGCACCACGATGGAGTAAGCCAGAGGCATATTGATGTGGAGGAGGGGACTGTACACCCTAGATGTAGAGGATCTTCCTCTACTGAAGGAAGAGAAAAAATACCCCCAGTTAGTGGAGTATGGAGAGTAGGGAAAATGGAGACAAAAGGTGGAACCTACGCACTTCTCAATGGGAGATGATTTTCACGAACAGGCCATATGGAAGAGGACCAGGAGAGGCAGCATCAAACTGTTGGAGGAAGCTACTCAGGAGGGCAAGATGGGCAACAAGCTGGAGACTAAGGTGCTGTCCCATCAGTAAGGCACCCGTGCACCGCAGTAAAAATAAAATAAAATAAAGAGTATGTTAGTAGCAGTAGGTGTATGTATTCCCAACGTACTAACACACTGCTGAAACCCCGTACAGTAAAAATGCCAGGAAGGGGGTTATAAAAAAAAAAAAGAAAAGAAAAAAAATGTTACGCCTCTTATCACAAGTAAAGACTTTTGTTCTCGTTAATATTATGCATTCCCATTGTTATATTTTATTTCTTGCCCAGAGAAATTGAGCTTGCCCCTCCAGGCAAAAATCCTAGTTTTGGAGGGCTTTTTTTCTTTTTTTAATTGATGTATTTATTATTCGGTTGTACAGAATTTTTATCAGCTCTATGTTTTAAAATTTAATTTTTATAAATGAAATGTTGTGCTTTCCTAACTATTATTATTGTTATTATCCTTCCCCCTACAAAATAAGTCTGTAAATGTTTTCAGCCATCTTCAGAACATTTAAAAATATAAGGGTAAGAAAATAATGCCATTTTGATGTACAATTAAGCTAATGGCTATTTTTGATTTTCAAATACTAAAAGCTTTTTACTAATGATTATGCTGTTAATGAGTTCTAATTAATTCTTTAATTTTTAGAGCTGTGACAGAAAAGTGTTTGTTTGGGATATGAGGACTGGCAATTGTGTACAATCTTTTGAAGGACATTTATCAGATATCAATAGTGTTAAATTTCATCCAAGTGGTGATGCTGTCGCCACTGGCTCAGATGATTCAACAGTAAATTTTTTTCTAAGCATAAATAAGAGTTATTATGATGAAATAAAGTTATTTTATGTTTAATTTATTTTATATATAATTTTAGTGTCGTTTATTTGATCTGAGAGCAGACAAAGAAGTCGCAGTTTACACTAAGGAAAGTATTATTTTCGGTGCCAATTGTGTTGACTTCTCTGTCAGCGGTAAGACATTTGGATGGTATCCTATTATTAGGTTGAGCAAATTTATAGAAGTTTATATATATATATAAATTTATATTTTTTGAAATGATGTTTTTGATATATAAATTCATCTGTACTTTTATCTCTTAATCGTTTGTCTATGCAATAGTGTTAATAATAGTCCTGGAAAGTGTAATAAATTAACAAGGTACTTTTTTAAATTTATTATATCAAGTTTATTGAATAAAACTACTATCTGCCACATTGAAGGGCAACAATTATTTGGCCTATAAGTGTCCATTCATCTATGTGCTTTTGTATGCACATAGATGAATGGACACTGTATTGAACAAAGAAGTTATGAATTATCCCTTAACCCCCACTTAAATAGTAATAACTAGGTAACGAATCTGAGTAAACCTACTCTGTTTATTCAGTAAAATTTAACCATTTTACATTATTAGCATAATTTAGAAGAAAATACTCCCTCCTTAAAAAAAGTAAAGGAAGTTTGTGAAATCCATATTATTAAAGAATTAGAAAAAAATAGGGGAGAAATTAATTTATGAACAATTACAAGCTGTGTTTGAATAAAAATTATGTTTAAAAAATTTTATTAAAGTATAAACATGTTTTTAAAGAAAAAAAAAAATTGATGCGGATGTTGCATCAAATATTATATATTATAAAGCTCATTTAAACAATTATTGATTATGATAGATGTAGAAAGAGCATTTTCTCATTTGTAAATTCTTTGACATAGGTATTCACCTCCATATTTAAATAGCTCCCCTGGCAAATTGTCCATTCCAGGAGTTGTGTTTTTCTGTTTTAAATGGTCCACGGAATCCATAAAATCTTTGTATGAAGAACGTTCTGCATCCGGGAAAACCCTGGTGTCCAAATCATTAACTGTACTGACTACCGTCTCAGCGATGTTATGGCCAGTTCCAAGTACATCCTCAAAATGTTCCGCCCATCTATCCAAGATGAGGGTCTTCTCCAAGAGGGTCTTCTCCTCCTTACTGTGACAGTTGCTTACTTTTGGTTGGGATTCAGTTCTCAGCTTCTTGATGGAGTGATCAAATCTGCTTTCATTTCTCTCGTTTAGTCCTTCCATAAGCTCTATCTTCCTTCTATACCACGCTTTCTTTTTATTCCTACACAAATTTGTGACTCTCTTTCTACTAGTGTGGTACTTTTCTCTATTCCCTCTTGTGTCCCTTTGTAACACTACATGCCTGTCAGCGTTCTTTTGTTCAACGGCTTGGGCACACTCCTCATCAAACCATTCACTATTCCTGTGGTGCCCATTTTTCCCTAGGACTAAATCAGTTGTCTCCTCCATTATATTCTTTAAATTTTTCCATTCTTCTTCAGTGTCACTTTTCTTTTTGTAGTTGTGCTGCTTATCCTTAAGAGTCTTCAAATAGGATCTGCTACTCTTCAACTTTCAGCCTCTCGGTGTTCCATTGCTTCCTTTGTACTCTATTACCTTTTTTAATATTAGTCAACCTATGTCTGAGAAGGGCTTTCAAGAGATAATGATCCGAGTCACAATTTGGTTCCCTGCAGGCTCGAACATCAATGATACTTGGGGCATGTCTGGAAGATATTACCACATGGTCAATTTGATTAACTCCGCCCCCTGCCATTTTCCAAGTTCTCAGATGAATACAGCAATACCTACATATCAATGCTAAATCAAACTTGAAGCCTTCATTTGAAAAAATTCTTGTATTTGATGACAGAAAAAACATTATTTTTCAAAAGAATAATGCACCATCCCACATTTCATGCAAAAGTAAAGAATGATTTGAAAAAATACAATATTAAGGCAGTTGTCAGACTTCTCCAGTCCTCATTATGATTGAGCTCTTATGGTCTAAACATAATTGCTGTTGGTAAACATAACCCAACAAAGAAATACCACTATTACTTTTGGCCAAAGCTGTAAAATCACAGTTTTATTTACAAATCCATCAAGGTATTGAACAAAGAAGTTATGAATTATCCCTTAACCCCCACTTAAACAGTAATAACTAGGTAACGAATCTGAGTAAACCTACTCTGTTTATTCAGGAAAATTTAACCATTTTACATTATTAGTATAATTTAGAAGAAAATACTTTCTCCTTAAAAAAAGTAAAGGAAGTTTGTGAAATCCATATTATTAAAGAATTAGAAAAAAATAGGGGAGAAATTAATTTATGAACAATTACAAGCTGTGTTTGAATAAAAATAATGTTTACAAAATTTTATTAAAGTATAACCATGTTTTTAAAGCAAAAAAAAAATTGATGCGGATGTTGCGTCAAATATTATATATTATAAAGCTCATTTAAACAATTATTGATTATGATAGATGTAGAAAGAGCATTTTCTCATTTAAAAAATATAGTATAAATGGAAAAATCCAAACTACAAAGCCATGACTCCAACATACTGGTGAATGATTAATTTTCCAACGTTTTGCCAATTCAGGCATCATCAGGGCAGAAAAATTTAGACCACATATATTCAGAAAGGAAAAAAAAAAGATAAAAAATATATTGCAGTTGACATCTAATAAAGCCATCCAAACACATACTGAAGGGTACTACTGATAACAAATATAGATAATTGCCAATATTTTAGATATATAAAATATACTGAAGTTTAATTGAAATAATTAATTATTTATAAGTGGTTAATATCAAGGTTTTATAATTTTTTACACCTTTCAAAAGTTTTTACTGTATGAAAATCCAGTCTCTACTTATCATCAACATTTAATGAACTATTTTTTAATCTTTTAATAATTTTTGGGCTATTAGATTCACTTGAAAGACTCAGAGAAAAAGATATATTATCATCTCATAGGCGCAGCACAAGTATGATCATTTGAAATGGTAACATGAATGTGAGGGGGTGAAGGCACAAGCTTGGCAAAATCATTCATATGTTACTTTATCTATGGCAAAAGCTGAAGTTTATGGAAATCATTTTTTAGCATTCACATTTCTGTATTGGGACCACTGCTCACATAATTCTTTTTTACTTTTGAATGTCACATACCTACATTTTTCCAATTTTTAATTGATCAGCTAAATTGTGAATGCTAAGTTTTTCACTTACACTCATTCAATGTTTTCATTAATTGGAAGCGAGTTGACAATTAAATCTGTAAAATTGACAATAAAGTGTTAAAATCGTAATCCCAATTTCAAAATCGAATTCGCAGTGTATATAATTGAACTAATCTATAAATTGGATAAATGTTCTCAGAATATGAGTCTCACTCGCTTCCTGCTGTCCAATGTGGTGAAAATTGTCAATCAAAATCCTTACATCAAGCCTGTCCGCGTCCATTAAAGAGAATGTCCGTAATGTAGAAGTCATTTATACTATAAAATTATTCTAATTAGGTGAAGATTTTAAATTTGTCTGCTGTAGAGAAAAGTCCAAGAAGTTTACTGTAGTATATATTTTTCATTAAGATTTTTTTAGATCAATATTTCAGTATGTCTGGTTTGGAAATTGTATATTTTAATGTTTCAACTAATTTTTTTAGGAAGATTGCTGTTTGCTGGTTATAATGATTATACCATTAATGTATGGGACACATTAAAATGTGTTAGAGTTAGTTTGCTATATGGCCATGAAAATAGAGTTTCGTGTCTCCAAGTTTCACCAGATGGCACTGCTTTATCAACGGGTAGTTGGGATTCCACTCTAAGGGTATTAAACTTACAATATTTTACTCTAAAATTGTGCTAACTTTTTTTCTAAAATATTGTGTTTGTTTTGCTTTTTAAATAATTTGTTAGAATATTATTTCTTCTCTGATATTTTTTGCTGGTTGAAAATTATAAATGTGTTCATATAGAGATATTTAATTGTATTTTAATATTACTTTTAATCTATTTTTCTACCCAAGACCTATGTTTCAATGTAGAAAGTGTTACTTATTACATTTTTTATTTGTCTAATTTTTTTTATATTTCTTTATTTTTTTTCTAGGTATGGGCTTAAAACTGGAATCCTTTTGTACTGTTAAATAGTAGGGAAAATAGTTGTATTATAGGTTTTGAACATTAATCTGGGTTAGCTTATTTCCATTTATTAAAAGCTGCAAAATTATTAAAAGTATAATAATTTTAACTATTTTGTAAGACACATGTTAGTATAAATTTAATCAACATTTCATGAACAATATCGCTGTGATAACTTTAAAAAAGACAAAATGATTATTAAAGAAACAAGTGGATAAAGCTAGCCCTATTGAATTTTCATTCAAGTATTAACTACTCCTTTAGTAATACTCATGCATATTCCTGTGAATTACTAAATTATAAGATTGTTAATATGTAAAAATGAATTTTGGCAACAATGTACAACATTTGAAAAGTGAAAAAAGTAGTCATTAACTTAACTTAATGACTATTTTTTTTTCTAGCCTGCTTGAATTTGTTAAATGTACGTAATAAATGAAGAATTAGTATTTCATTATTCAATAAATTCTCTATCTTTTGAAATGGTTTAAATTAGGTTTTGATATTTAATTGAAAATTAATTTTGTTTAATGTACATTAATGTTAATGCTTATTCAGTTACTTCCCTGATACATAAACACATTATTCTATGCTACCTGTTTTAATGATATGTATAAAGTTTTCATTTTTTCACATCAATATTTCTAATGACCTTATTATGAGTCAATTATCACACATTGGAGCATAGTTTAAAGTAACATATGTTGTAAATATCATATCTGCATACCTCAAATTATATATTAGTAATACTGTAACATTAAATCTGTTGATTAATATAATAGTTTGTGAATGATTTACAGCACCACGGAACTCAACTAAATCCATAATATCTTATATTATGTTACATTTGTTTGTATGCTAAGGTCTGAGTAACAATGATATTGTTACAAAGACTATATTAAGAATGTACTTTATAGTTATTTCCAGTAAAGTTTATGTAGCATTACTAGTTGAAACTTAATGCTACTAGATATTGCTGGTCAAGTTTCAGTTCCCATCTACTGCACTGGACATTATTATAGTATTTAGGAATAATTATACTTTCAGTTTATATATTTCTTATACTTCAGTTTATTTTCTTTCTATAAATGTAAATTTACTTCTGAAATTTATAATTGTGTCATTATTAATTTAATTTATAGTTTATTATTATTTGCTAGTTAAATTAATTATTTAATTTTCTCTATAAATGTAAATTTACTTCTGAAATTTATAGTTTATTATTAATTTATATTTTATTAGTATTATTTTACTACCAACTGCTGTGATGAATTTTGTGAATTGTATTGAAATACAATTAATTACAGATGTGTTTTTTTTTTTTTCCTCTCATATTAGAATGAAAGGAAATTAAAAACAGTCAATTCTGAATAATGGACCCACATATATAATTATTATGTGTATTAATGTTCTCCAGGTTTTAAAAAGTGGCTTCTAGAAGATTATTTGTGCTTAATTTTATATGAATTTCTTAGAAAAATATTTATCAAAAGATAATCAAATTTTAAACTTAAGTATAAATGGGTATGAAAATTTGACACAAATTGTCACTTCAAAATCATTAAGGATTGAATGTAGTTCATTTAAAAAATCTTATAGTTTATTTAATAATAAAAAATATTTAAAATTTCAAACTTTAATTTACTTTCCCTGGTAATAATTTTGGGTATGTTTGTAGTACAAGGCTGACACAGGCTCATATAATCAAACTAGATGAAAATCAGAAAATTTTAGAGTTAGTGAGAAAATTATTGAATGAAGTTAGTCAGTTTTTAAGATTTTTATTACCAAAGTTTTAGGGCAGAAAAATTTATAACATCAGGGATTTAATAGGTTATTATCCACAAGCTGGGGTTGAAACATTGGCAATAAACATCTTAAAAATTGATTGTGTCCTGACTACCTATCACCCATGATTTGTAAGAAAGTGTTTTATGGGAAATGATATGGAGGTATTAAAATAACAAAGAAAGTTACATTATGGTTGGCTTATTGCAAAAAGTTATTAAGTAGCACCTCATAAAATAATAATAATAAATCTTATAGTTTATTTAATAATAAAAATATTTAAAATTTCAAACTTTAATTTACTTTTCCTGGTAATAATTTTGGTTATGTTTGTAGTACAAGGCTGACACAGGCTCATATAATCAAACTAGATGAAAATCAGAAAATTTGAGAGTTAGTAAGAAAATTATTGAATGAAGTTAGTCAGTTTTTAAGATTTTTATTACCGAAGTTTAAACTGAAGCTTGTGGGTTATCATTAGGGCAGACAAATTTATAACATCAGAGATATAATACAATATAACAGATAATAATCAATAATAATAAATAGTGATGTATCACTACATCTACCTCACTGTTTATCATTATTAACTATTATCTATTATATCATATTATAACCTATTATATCTCTGATGTTTTAATTTTTCAGCCCTAATGATTATCCACAAGCTGGAGTTGAAATGTTGGCAATAAACATCTTAAAAATTGACTGCCTCCTGACTATCTATCACCCATGATTTGTAAGAAAGGGTTTTATGGGAAATGATTTGGGGGTATTGAAATAACAAAGAAAGTTATATGTTGTTACTTTATGGTTGGCTTATTACAAAAAGTCATTAAGTAGCATCTCATAAATTAATGACACTAAGTACTCAGATGAATTTACTGTATAAGAACTCAGAAAATTGTGCACTTAGAGTAACTATATTGGATATATAAAAGTGTTTGTGTCATTTTGATGCACTCGATCATTAAAAAGATAAAAATTCACAAAAGGGTACTTACAGTTAGCTCCATCCAGTGCCTGCCTTAGGGTGGGGACATTGGGGCCAATTGCCTTGGGGGAGGGGCAGACCGTTGGGAGCACCACACAGTGGGAAGAGTTAGGGAAAACTGGCGACATCGGCAAACAAATTTTAATTTTTATAGAACTCCAAAAACTAGATAAACTGTTTTATTAATACTCTCTGGAATTCGTGAGAATATTTTTATATGTATGAATGTCTGAACAATTTCTAGGTAGGTACTAATATCTTCTATAACAGGATATACTCTGAATTTTAGTTTTAACAATTGTATTGAACATAAAGAAAATAAGGTTTTGTAGTTATTTATTTCAAAAAATACTTCAAACCAAAATGATGGAAAAATTTACATTAAATATTAAATCTTCGTTTTCATTCTTTTAAAATATTGATTTTGTTTGTGTAGATAAGAAATAAACATTTATATTATTTTTTCAACTGCATGTAACCATCATTTATTTTTGTTTTAACCTAAATAAACACCAGTGCCAGCCTTAGACATTTGGCACCCCAGGGCAATTACATCATGAGCGCCTTTTCCCCTCCCCCATTCATCCCTTCCCTTCGTCCTCTTAAAAAAAATAAAAGGAATTTAGGAAGAGAAAATAAGACATAGGTGAAGAATTTATTTTTATTGAAAAGAAAAAACACATTTAATCTAAAAGTATTTTTTTAAATATAAAGTTATACAAATTTTTTTTCTAGATTTGATATCAAAATCTTTAACTATTTGTGAAAAATCTAAACTGCTAGCTATTTCGTTTTCAATTTACAATGTAGGATGAGCTCTCAATTTTTCTTTGGACAATGTTGAATGAAGATTTGATCAACCTTAGCTTTGAAAATTACCTTTCGGCAATGCTCACAGAAACTGGCTTTGTAAGGAATATTGTTATTGCTACCCATAAATTAGGGCAAACATCTGTCAAATTTAATTTATTAAAATAATTGAAAATTTCAATTGACCAAGATTTTTTTTTAAAATATTTTTCTTAAAGAGAGTAATTTTTCCCACAATTATGTGCCATTTATATCACTCTGAATTTTTTGTTAGAACAAGTTGCAAATTCATGCACTTTTCTAGCAGTCGTTCGCGGATTTCTTCCTTTGAAATTGTTAATAAAAAAACCCAATCACTTGAAACAAATTTGAATTGATTGAATCTTTCTTCTAACTCCACCATAACGTTATCAACCAAAAGTAGAAAAAACTCAATTTCTATTTTTTTCTTTGGGTCTGTTATAGGTTCCTCAAAACTATTTTGGTCAAATTCCTTTTTTGCATATCTGAGTTTTTTGTCAGCGATAAATGTGTCTTCCGAATTTAGGATTGCTGATAACTCCTTAGCTTTCTGGATAGAAATTTCAAAACACTTGAGCCTGTGAGTTTGAAAGTATTGTTGCACTTTCCAGTAATGAAACTGCTTGAAATATATTTGAATTCTTTGACTGCATAATTCTGCTAATATTATTTATCTGGAAAATTACATCATAAGAAGTACGCCCCTTGAAGAAGACCTCAAACCCACCAGCTCTTAATGATTTCCCTTCATTCAAACCTCTCAAAACCTTTAGAGCGATTAGTCCAATCCCAGCTATCCCATTTTTCAGAAGAAAATAATCTCCTAAATCCCTACCAGTTCGGTTTTAGGCCTGGTTATTCTATTCAATCTGTCCTAATCAAAATTTTCCAAGACCTTCACACAGTCGTAGATCAGCAGAAACTACCTCAATTTATTTAGGTTATTTTAGTTTCGTATATATATGTACGATTTTCTTTTCTTTCTCTTCTTCAGCATTTTTATTTTTAGTCGACCCTTATTGTAAATATATAATCTAATTGTAGCCACACAGACATACAATCTGTTCTTATACTTTGTTCTAAAGGCACAATAGTCCCAGAATAATAAAACATTTTTTCATTTTCATCATACCACACAATTAAACTAACCAGAAATGTAAAATTTTCAATGATTTTAGCTAGGGAGCGAGGTTCATGACTTGTGCCTGGATCAGATTTAGCTGAATTATCTGTTAATTCTAATAAACTGTCATGTACTTCGGCAATTTGAAATCGAACTACCTTCATGTTTTCAATTTTTGCTGCCCAGCTAGTATCACTTGTGTACTTGACAACCTTGGAGACATTTTATTTCAATCCCATCTAACAGGCGATCCATTTAAAATTGTTTATATCCCTCTTAGGATCCCAAATAGTGATACAGAAAGCGTTGTACTAGCTGCATCACTAAGATTCAAGCAATGACACGAGGAAGGTAAGAAATGGGCTAGTAGATTTATAGTTATTATTCTACTTTGTTTTTCCCTTCATGTTTGCTCCATTATCATAACCTTGTCCACGAAAATTTTGAATATCTAACTCAAATCTTTGCAGTGAATCTAACATTATAATAAATGAACTTTCTCCTGTGGAACTGTTTACAGAGTAAAAGCCTAAACGTTTTTTCTCTATTGAAACAGTTTCTCCTTTGATATCAACAAAGCTTAATGTCAGAGATAGCTGTTGGACGTGGCTAATGTCAGTTGTACAATCAGCAATGGTGTAAAAATATTTCACATTTTTGATCTGGCTTATGATTATGATTACATCCTGTACTTTTTTAGCTGATAAAGTAATGAGCTCATTTTGAATATTTTTTATATAATATTCATCACTTATCTTGCATCTTAGTGTCCGTTCCAAATGATCCTGCACAACAGGATCAAATTTACCAAGTAATTGGACTAATTTTAAAAATGTTATTTTCTGCCAAAAATAATGCTATGCGGAGAAGTCCTAGAACCGAATGCCATCTCTTCCTTTCCTAGAGGATTAATGCTTGTTCTTCAGTCAATTGTACACCCAATATTAAATTTTTTTTCCATATTATGCCAAGCTTTGTATGATGACATTGTGTTCCCGACTTATTTGAAATGAAATGAAATGAAAAATAATTGTAATCTGGGACTGAAGTCCCCTTAGAATAATGGTAGAGTTCAAAAAATAAGTACGTTAGTCTGGCATGTAGATATCATACAAATATATACAAAATATAGAGGGTGACCAACGTAATTATATAACCCAGAAATTTTTACTAACTTGCTGAAGTTTGAGTTTGTGGTAGGTGGTGAAATAGGAATTGTTTGAAGGAGTTTGACGTGTGGACATGGGTAAGGAATTCCAGAAGGAGGTAGCACGAAGGAAAAAGGATTTACTAAAGGAAGTGGTTTTATGGGAGGAGATATATAAATCTATAGGTTGGGAGAGTGGATAGAGGAGCGTAAAGTAAGGAGTTCTAAGATGTAGGGAGGGTTTTTGGTTCTGAGGACTTGAAAAAGAAAAACACCAAGAAGGAATTGCCGTCGGGAAGTAGGATAAAGCCAGTTCGACTAG